GGACGGAAGCAACCTCTCACTTTCACTGCCATTGAAGCGAAACACTGGCCGAAGATGCCGCCCACTGCACGCCCGGCTACACACGCCTCCTCGCCGCGTTCAAACGCCTCCATTAAATCCACGTGGAAGCCAAAAAACCTACTCCGGACACACGTCCGTTCACGAGTGGACCAGCAATAAACGCAACGTCGGGCAAGCTCCTCCTGTCCGCCGACTATTTAAACAAGGCCAAACGTCGGGCAAGAATTGCACCATTCCGTCGTTCCCCATCTCCACCTTCCATCATTTTTCCACTCTTTCGATATGACATTCGACGAGCAGGAAGACCAGATCTCCGGCATAAAAGCAGGTTTGGTGCCCCGCCGAGCCCGGCGGATACGAGCGAGGCAGCTCGCTGCTCCACCTCCCTCGCAAAGCCCGACAGAGCAAGTTGCCACCTCGAGTCAGCGCGTGCTTCACCAACTCGCCACTCCAGGCCAGCTCACGGAGGAGGGGCGACCGTGCCAGGTCAGCTCGCGGGACCGCGCCTCCTATGCCTACGACACGCCATCCGCCGTCAACGCACGCGTAGGCGCGTGCTACCTGCAGAGGAAGAAGTCGGCTGCTCGAACATCGATGAGGTAGTGGCCAACATGTTCGCACCGCCGGTCTACACAGCCGGTGTCTTGCCCTCTCTCCGGCCGCCGTCATCCACTTACCCAAGATCCAACTTTTGTCCGTGCAGCATAGGGACTCTTCCCCTATGGCTGAAGCATCTGGCGGCGGTTCCGCTCCAATAAGCGGTGGGGAAGTGAGCCATCTTGTGCGCTGAATCATATACATTCGAGGCTCACCTTTGCCGGTCATGGGGACAACGTTGGAGACCCACCGCGGCCGGCAGTAGACTAGTAGAGGGTATCATGTTGTCGGATTGGATATCCACCAGAGCCAGCCTTTAGACTAGTCCGGTTTCGTTTTTAGTTCGAAATATGTCCAAAATGTAACAATTTTCGTCTGGTTTGTATGAAATTCGTCATGTTTATGTAAAATCTGGCCGAATTTGCATCAATTTCATCCGGTTTGTTGTAAAAGATGGACCAGTCCACGAACAGATGCGAGAGAAAATTTGCGGGTTGCCGTTGGAGATGAGAATTCCCTAACGGACGCACGTTGCGTCAAGATGTTGACGTTTCGCAACTAGCAATCAACGGAGCGATCACAGTGAGCCAGCCCATGTTAGCAGTTTAGCGTGTACTCGGATCCTGGTTTTGTGAACGTTCAAACTCCGTTTTTTTTCTGGTTTAAGAACCTTCTAGAAGGTTCCTGAACGATTTTTGTCTAGTTTCCCGTTGTTGTTTTTGTTTTTTAGTTTTTACCCTTTTTGATTATTTGTTTCTTTTTTATTTTATGTTTCCTTCTTCTTTTCACTTTTTGGTTTCTTTTTTCTTTTCCTTTTTCTTTTTTCGTTTTCAAGTAGACTTCCCTTTTAATAATTTTTTTTGAAATTTTCAAATTTTGTTCAGATTTTGAAAAAATGTTCCTCCTTTACAATTTTGTTCATATGTTCCAAAAAATATTCTAGTACCAAAAAATGTACAGGAATTTTAAAAATGTTCTTGTCTTTAAATTTTGTTCACAAGTTGAAAAAATGTTCAGGAATTCCAAAATACATTTATTTTTTTATTTTTCACAAGTTGAAAAATTATACATTTTTGAAAAAAAAATGTTCATGTATGTTTGTGGTTTCAAATTTTGGTCTGAAATTAAAATAAATGTTCAAATTTTAAAAATGTTCGCGATACAAATTTTTGTTTGGAATTTCATGAAATGTTCAAAAAATGTTCGCTTTCAGAAAATGTTCCAGAATTTGAAAAAATGTTCATGATTTCTAATTGTTCGGAGTTTCATGAAATGTTCCATTATAAAGTTTAAATTCAAAAAATATTGGCAGTTTCAAATATTTGTTCCAATTATCATGAAATGTTTCCACATTTCAAATATTTTTTAAAAAAATCAAAAAAATGTTGAAAGTTTCAACATTTGTACAAAATTTCATAATTTTATCAAAAATTCAAAAAATGTTTATGTTTTTCAGGAAAAAATATTTTTGTTCCATTTTTCTGCTTTTTCAAAAAATTTCACATATTCAAAAAACGTTCTTGTCTCTGTTTTTTTTCTTCAGGAATTCAATAAATGTTGGTACTTATTGAAAATATACATTAAGAAAATGTTCAACTCAGTAACTAATTCAGATTCGCTACAATAGTTACTTTCGGTTCGCTACTGTGTATACCATTCCGGTTACATATATATGCTTTGTTCTTTAAGGGATGCACTGCTTTATTAACAGCAGTTCTGCGAGTGGCTAGTACGTAGTTCGTGATAGTAAGCGGTTGGTCTCCGGTTTGATTCTTGCTACGTGCGTGTTTCCTTTTTCGTGCTATGTTTTTTGTCCCACTGTAGAACTCGATGGGCCGGCCCAGTCAGGTCCCTGTCTGTGCGTCAGGCCGCCAATTTGACGCAAAACACGTCAAATAGGGGCTCCCTTGGAGATGCCCTAAGATGGCTCTAGTACCACGTGACAGGGTCTCTCTATTGCTGAAGACATGTTCGTGATCCTAGCTGGGATATGGAAGCACATGCCGTAGGGTTTTTGTTTTTTTTTGAGCGAAACGTGCCATAGGGGGATGATACATATTGGGGGGCCGGGCTCTAAACATGTCACTGGACTTGCGCGCTCGGGGCGGGCTGTTGGACTTGGCGGGCCCTTTCCCCCGTCGTGCAATGGCGTTCCGTGTGCAGGCGAATACGCAGGTACTCCCTCCGTTCCGGAATAGATGACTCAACTTTAGACTAAAGTTAGTACAAAGTTGAGTCATCTATTTTGGAACGGAGGGAGTAGGTTGCTAGCAGAGATCAGATCATATCGAACTCTATCTAGCAAGGGTTTGATCAATCACTGGATTTGTTGATCGCTAGCTTTGTGCTGCACTATCATCACACAGTTGCTTGTTCGTATTATCAGACTGAGCTAGGGAAGTGTAAAGGTACAAATAATCTTCAAATATCTTCAATTATTATCTTTAGCTTCTCCCTGCCCCATCCGTCAGCCAATTCTTGCTACTGGAGCCGGCGGTGGGGCGAGATGGTTTACAGGGGGCTTCATGGTTCTTCTACAATGTGGTTCACAGGGGCTTCATGCATGGTTCTTCCACAATGTGGAGTCGGTATGTCCGTGCTTGTACGTGGACGGGTTAGGACCACTGAATAGATTGCGCGCTACAGCGTCACTGATAGCACACTATAACATGTAGAGAATTGTCTCGCTAAATAAATTAATATATAATCTATCGTTAATAGCACACTAATATCATATTTTAAGGTCCGGCGCTATTTTTATATAGTGCACTGTTTTTTTTCCTTGGTTAGGACGGCGCAACCCGGACTTGTTAGATTTCCTTGGCTGGATTTAGGGTGCAGCTGAGAAGGAAACACTGGACTGGACTAATGGGCTAGTGGTACAGTAGAAACCACTGCTTTGTTGCTGCAGATCCCAAGGCAAACGAGCGGTAGGATTATAGTTACTTACGAGTAATGATGATGGTTCAGACTCTTGAACCATAGGGTAGAGAAGAATAATGAAGTATACAAGCAAGAAAGTCAGCAGCAGCAGATGCCACTAATCACATTTTTTAAGGAACATGGTATTCAGCCTCCATTAATTAATTAGATCAACGCCGCACAGTAGATGCAACAAGCTTAATCATCTGGAGGATTACATCGCACAAGTAACCAAAACGGTTGTGTCCGGTCAAACTATGTAAACCAACAACAGCACTGGCCAGGGCGGGTGCAAAACGTGAAATGTTGGCGTCCCCGCGCCATCCTGCTGCACATGTCGTTGCTGCACATGTCGTTGCACATTATATTGTTTCTTGCATTTTACGTATCTCGTAACTTAATGTTGGCATATCTCAACTTAATTTTGGCATAATCATGATAGCATTTTTATCATATTCATTCATTTTCACGCATCTCGAAAATTAACAAACCTGGCCCTTTTCTGAAACTTTAACACAAAATGAACCTAATGCAGAAAACTTTCACAAAACGGCCAATTTGCATGACGCCCAGGGTTAGGGTGTCATGCTAGATAGCACAGCGCCCCGGCCCGAGGCGCCATGCTAGATGTCGCTAGGGGCAGGGCGTCATGCAAAAGTGGGTCATTTTGTGAAATGTTTTTAGATTGGGTTCATTTTGTGTCAAAGTTTTGAAAAAGGGCCATAATCATTCATTTTCACCCATCTTGTTATATACCCCTTGGCTCCGTTCATCTTTTCTCGATAACTCTCCTGCCGCGGCGCCTCCAATCAGAACGTCTGGTTTGTGCAGTCATTCAACGGGGCCGTCACCTTCTACAACCCACCTAATAGCACCATCTCCCTCGACATATGACCAGATTTATCGTCCATGGATCCCTCGTCATCATACGCTTATTACATACTCCCTCCGTCTAGAATTACTTGTCACTCAAATAGATGTATTTACACGTAAGATGTAGAAATTAATGTACTGATGTATTCGTGTATCATCGCCAACGTACTGACCAACTAATCTCCTTCTTTTGCTTTCTCTCCATGTTATCGTTGTTTTACTTACTATGATGAACTATTGTAAGATCTTGGTTGTAACTGGTTTTATTTTCTTGCTCCATTCTGCGAGAAACACAAGAATAAATATATATAGTTGACCAGTTTGGACCACACTGAATGAAGTCTAGCGGTAGTGGTGGTTATTCATACCCTTAAACCATGGAGTGAGAATGAAAAATCGGGCATACAAGAAACACAGCCGCCAGATGCCGCTATTCATGTTATTAAGGAACACTTTATTCAGTTTGCGTTAAATCAGATTGACGTAATACATGCAAGGAGCTTATTCATCAGGATTACATGCATGACCACGAATGAGATTTGCTTCACGTCACAGAGCCGTAACCAAACTGGCCATGTATAGTGAAACTATAGACGTTTGCAACAACATTGACCAATGTTGTTGCAATAGAAGGTATGGGTACCCAGGTGTTTTTTGTTGCATAAATCCATGCAATCAGGTACAGAGCATCCTTGTTGCAGATCCTCGCATGTTGGCTCGCCAACTGCATATGCAATTCCATTGTAGCATCAGTTCAATCAAAACCAGCTTTAAAAAATTCAATCAAAAAATATTTCTAGTAGGGTAAATATTTTTTATACTGATTGATGCATGTATATGCTTACCTCTTGCATGGCAGGATGGCAATGTAGTAGCAGACATCATAATAAGGACCAGGAAAGCAATGGCCATGGTCCTCCTTGTGTTGCCCAGGTTGACAGCTGGTGCCATGAGGAGAAGGGGCAGCTGATTTTTGTTTGTCTTTCTTCCTTGTGTTGTTCTGGTGTTCTCCTTTGCTGCCAAGAGCTCCTTTGGTTTGTTTTTATAGAGGCGCAATCATATCTTGGATATGTTGCTCATATGATTTCTTGCATATATTATCTACATTATTTCTTGATCAATCCAAAAAAGATTATTTATCAATTCAGACGCAATCTTATCTTCATGTTTTGTATTTATTGAGAGACTATTCTTGGTCAATTTCAAAATTGTTATCTCACAATCAAGGCACAATCATATATGTATATTTTGTATTTGTCTAGAGACTTATTCTCAGTCAATACTGAAATCGCTAATTCTCAATCAAGGCACAATCAAATCTTTATATTTTGTATTTATTGAGAGACTATTTTGTAGTCTATTTGGAAATAGTTATTTCTCATTTGAGGCACAGTCATATCTTAATATCAGTCTGACTAAAACCTACAGAATTGCTAAAAACTAAAAATATTGGGCCAAAGACGACAAACCTTTGTACTACAAAAAAGGAGTAAGTTTGGACATAGGAAACCACATGCTAATTAAGAGCCACTTAATTGGTTACGATTGGTAAATCAACGTCCCACTGAAATACTCCAATCATCAAAATAAGCCCAGGGACATCAAATGGTGTCATACCATCTAAAATTACCATTTAGCAGGGAATGAGGTCCTAAAAAAAAGAAGAATATCTATTGCATAAAAATGGTATATCACACAAAAGATGCCCGTTAACACACAAACATACACACTCATTACAAACTAAGAAATTGATACCCCAATGATAAAATCTTTCCATTCCATAAACTAAAGTGCAAGTACAGAACGTTGCTAACATCCATCGAATATCCCCATGGAAAATTTATCACCAAATCCTCTCTCTTAGAGAGTTCCTTTTTCGTTGGATTTATGAGTACTGTATGCTTGCTTAACTCAAAAGCTTTGAACTTGCGAAATATCAAGTATTTCTGAAAAAATAAAGACATATATAGGCATACCGAAAGAAGTAAAACAATAATTGAATGATACTAGTCTACATATGCTCATGCTATCCATTTTTAGATACTAGATACTAGATACCTAAAGGGCGTTCAGAAGGCTATGCTTTTATTGGTCTAGGTTCTTTCGGCAATGGGAGGAGCAGAAGAGGAAGTACAAACTTGCTAAAGGTGGCATTTTATGTAGGCCTTAGGATAAAGGTGGGTTGGGCATTGAAAACCACAAAATAAAAAACGAGTGCTTACTCAGCAAATGGATGTATAAGCAACTTAACGAAGAAGGTGTTTGGCAAGAATTAACAAATACCTGAACTCCAAAACATTAACCCAAATAGATACTAAGCCTATTGGACCGTTTTGAATGGGCACTACTAGGGAAAAGACTAGCAGCAGCGCAGGTTTTAGGTATAGCAGTAGTGCGGGGTCCCGCGCTACTGATACGGCGCTACAGCTAACCTGTAGCAGCAGCGCGTGTCTGCCCGCGCTACTGCTATACAAGCGTAGCAGCAGCGAGCGGTATGAAATCGCGCTATTGCTAATTGCTCTAGTGCACTTTATTAGGCCGCGCTTCTACTAGCGGCACGCTTCTGCTAACTTTTCTCCACTCGCTACTGCTAATTTTATTAGTTTTTGTTTTTTTTCTGCATATTTGTTTTGTATTTGAACAGGCTTTATACAAGAATCTTTAGCACATACAAATGTCATCATCATACACATGCAAATGGCTGCGAGACCATAAATGTAATCATAGCATATACATACAAATAGTTTCATCATAATTATCATCCAACACAAAGTGGTCTCTCGTCATCATCTCGAAAATAGCGATACATGCAAGTCTCGAATACTTGCAACTACAACGGCATCCATCTAAACAATGATATACGTGAGAAGTGCTATCTCTATGAGTGATAGCGGAACTATGCAGTACATGAGGCAGCGGTTATGAGGCCTCTCTCGCGCTAGCGTGTACCTCAAGTAACTAGCTTGTGCTTCTTGTTTGCCTTTGAAGCCTTTATGGCTGACGCCCGAGACCCCCTCCACTTGAGTCTGACACTCATATCACTCGTTGTACACTAGCGGAACCTTCCCTTCATACACGACATAGCACTCCTTTGCCATCAAGAATCTAGGTACCTGTTAGAGATGCATCTTCATCAAGAGAATGTACGATCATATGCAACAAAATATACTAGAGCAACATGAAAAAGAAAGGGTTAGCAACTAGATGCAACATATAGTACACAAACTAATTAACTAGAGGTACGCATGTCCTTGTACCCAAACTAACAAAGTAGCGTTACGCAAGTTCGGCAGGGACCATGGACATCATAAAGTTTAATCGCTACAGAAAGTATACAAGTTCAACTGACACATATCATTATCATGGGCATCATAAATCACTAGAAGTTCCATCCTTCCATATCATCAAGGATGGACCCTAGCTTCTTGAACGGCGTGAGGTCATGACGTTGCATGCCTATGCGAGTTCGGACGTCAGCTCGTGATATAGGGCCATGGTGGAACATCCCCTTCTCATCGATGACTTCTTTCATGATGATCGTCGCAGTGTCCCTTTGGATACGAAAGAAGTCATCTCTAAGTTTATAATCCGCTTCTCCATGAGATTCTACCCACTTGCGGATATGATCATCGTTTCTGGTTGTCATACGAAGCTTTTGGTGATCCGTGTTGAACTCAATCATGAAATGGAGGAGGTAGAATCCATCTTTCTTGCTTGGTTTTGGGACATGGATGCAGCAGAAGTTAGTTTTATGCGAGAAACCCAACTTATTGTTCCTTTATTTCCTGATCTGCATGTGGCCACCCCTAATGCTGAAGCCTTGGAGAGCATCATCTAGAATATTCATTATGTGGATGTAATCCTTCTTCTCGTAGTCTCTGGTAGGGTCAAAATACACGGCGTGGGAGACTCGCGGGTAAAGAACGATAAGGACGGCGCGCCCGTTGCTGCAGGAAAAGACACCTCAAATTATTCTCCATATGAGCAAGAAGGAATGATTGAAATGTACGAAAGGGTTGTCCGGAACTGACTTACTTTGGATGATAAGGCAGGAGGATAATTTCTTGGTCCTTATTCTGTAACATGAAGTTTTGGAGGTACTCCCTAGCAGTTTCACGCTCAAAGTCGCCGAGACTCAAGAAAGACTCGTGCATGTAGTACGCATCCACCACACAGATTGCGAGACTTCTTCTCTCTTCATGATGGAGCTCATATGTAGCGCAAAAAGGCGGACAATTGTAAAATCGAGCCGCCTTGTCAGAAACATCTCAAATATATGGTCAAACCGCAGGAAGAACACCTCCGCGGGCCGTGTGTCGACGTAGCACTTCCCCTCAGGCACATGAGCCGTGTATGTCGGATATCCTAGATCCTTCGAGGCTAGTAGGCTTTTCTCAGTCCACAGCACATGGTCGTGCAGTCTCCTGAGATCCCCTAATAGTGCCTCTAGCAGTTTCGGCGGTAGCATCGGCTCGCCCGTGAGATGGAACATGGCCGCACCTTTCACGGGTACACGCTCTTCAGAATCCACCGTCTGGCTGCTATGTGCTCTGGCTTGTTTGGAGGTAGCTATATTCCTTGGTCTCTTCCTCTCCTTTTTCTTGGGCACACCTTCCAGACCCTTCCTTAACCCCTGCCTCAGTGTTGCCGGGCTAAGCACTGTACGACCTCCGACTAGTTGAGCCTGTGTTGAGGCGGCATCTTCAGGCGTGTCCTGTGAGGATTTCATGAAGAGAGACTTCTTGCAATCCCTGCTACGACGTTCCTGCCCGGGCAGATCATACATATCCTTATTACCATGCTGATAGCCCAATTCGTCATATGGTTGACTCATCATATCTAAGTCACCCTCATGTGCGTTTGTATTGAGGAAACCCATTGGGTCCTCTGTATCCTCCGTCTCATCATTCATTCTCTGTTCTACGGGACCGATTACATCAGCCAGTACTATTGCACCCCCTTCATCACGTTGTCCGCCGCTCTCACCCGGCACTACAGGAGCTGGTAATTGTGTAGGCGGGGTGGTGGTCTCCATAAATGCTTGTTGACGTGTGGTTATTGGTGTGCTCTCGGCCGGCTCTAGACGAAGAAGATTCTTCGGCCATAGCAGCACCCAACCCTTGCAGCTTCCAATCCGCGGCGGGGTCTCGTCGTCCTCTCCCCCTAGGCATAATGGAGGAGGCAAATCCTCGTGCCCCGATGTCACACTTAACAAGGTAACCCTGAAGTGCCCAGGGGGCATCGGCTGGTTGTGGAACGTGAGATCCAAGGGCTTCGTTATCACCCCCTTTCCCACGTCCACCTTCTGGCCTTTGACAAAGTATAGTACGGTGCACGGGGTTTCGTCGGCCTGCAAACACATGTCTGCGGCGTAAAACATCCGAAAGGCAACG